GTGACCATGAATGACACTACCTCATCTACTCAACCAATCAGTACTGGAGTACCTATGGACAATGACCTTGGTCCTCTACTGTTTCTTAACTACATCAATGACTTTCCTAAGGTCTCTCAGAAGCTTAAACTTAAATTCTGCTAGTTTGTTAACAATCAGTTTGTGAAACTACCTACTTGGAAGACAATCAACAAACTCCCATTCATTAATAACAAAAGAAATTATGCACAGTGTTTGGGAATAAAGCTTAAGCTATACAACTGAAAATAAGGGTATTTACTCTAAATAATACACACATTAAAAAACAAGATAAGAAAAGTTTTAGATATACACCTTGACAGAAATTTTTAAAATTCAGCACACACATACAGCATATATCTCAGGCCTCCTCAACAGTATCTTTTCCAAAAGTCATAAGTATGTGCCTCAAACTTCATTATTCATTCTATACTATGTACTCTCAAATCTATCCTTACCTCACTTATGGTATTTGTGCTTAGGGATCTACAATAAAAAGCTGCTATTAGAATGATAAAACTATCAGGTTTCAGACAATCCATACCTCTACTTTTCACATATAAATTAACACAGCATATGGAACACCACACTAACTAATGTCATACCGTATTTCGCGGCTTATAAGGCTTTTTTTTAGTTTCAGTGGCTCGGCATCGGCCCGTATCTCCACACCCCAAACTTATAGTTCCTATCACGACCTTCAGTTTTATATTACGCAGGATGGTTCTTGGAGACATTTTAGAAAAAATAATGCGTCTAATAAGCCATGAAATACAGTACATACATACAGGACAATTCAACATGTGTGTGAATTTTGTAGAGAATTCAGCGTCAGGAGATTAGGAGGTGGGGGTTTATCAAATATATTATTCAGAAGAAACTGGAGGGGTTTAAGGTGGTTTAGATATTATAGTGTACTGAAAAAAAATAGGATGAATTGGAGGGCATATAAATCTGAGATGGAAGGAAGGAGAAGCAGGAGTCAGTCTAGGAAAGGCTGGAGGGAAGGGCTAAAGTAGGTTTTGAATGCTAAGGAGTTCGAACTTTCCAACAGGCTTGGGTGAGCATGTTAAATAGAAGTGAGTGAGGCATGCTGTTGGAGCATGAGCAAGGTAAATTTATGAAGGGTTTCCCAGGGAAAAACCATGAACCCCCCCCACAAAAAAAGAAACTTTTATCATCATTCACGCTTTGCTGTCTTTGCAGAGGCGCACAATACTATAGTTTAGATGTCACGCTAAACAGTAAATATCCCAAACCCCTCCTTTAAAGTGCAGGCATTGTAACTCCCCACCTTCAAGACCAGTTTCCCTGAATCCCTTCACAAAATATTACCTTGCTCACACTCCAACAGTTCGGCAAGTCCCAAAGACTATTTGTCCCATTCACTCCTCTCTAACATGCTCACACATGCCCTGTATGTCCAAGCCCCTTACACACAAAATCTCTTTTACTCCTTTCCTTCATCCTTTCCTAGGATACTCCTACCCCTCCTTCTCTCCATTACAGATTTATACACCCTCCAAGTCATCCCTATTTTGCTCCATCTCTAAATGCCCAAAACCCACCTTAACAACCCCTCCTCAGCCTTCTGAATAATACTTTTAGTAACATCACACTTCCTCCTAATTTCTGCACTATGAAATTTCTGCAAATAGTTAGGCCATACACTGCCCTTAGAAAACGACATCTCCACGCCTCCAGCCTCCTTCCCTCACTGCAACATTCACAACCCATGCTTCACACCCATATAAGAGTGTTGGTACCACTATACTCTCATACATTTTCTTCTTTGCCTCCATTGATAACATTTCTTGTCTCCACAGTACCTCAAAGATCGCAATTTCACCTCCCTTTGAATGGAAATGTTAATGTACAGCAGTATTCCAGCCTAGAGTGAACAAATAATTTGAAAAGGATCATCATTGGCTTGGCATCTCTTGTTTTGAATGTTCTCATTATCCATCCTATCATTTTCTTTGCACTTGTGATCGTGGCACTGTTGTGATCCTTGAAATTGAGATTCTCAAACATTACCACTCCCAGGTCCCTTACATTATTTTTCTGCTCTACTGTATGGCCAGAGTTTGTAGTATACCTTGTTCTAGTTATTATCTCCTCCAGTTTTCCATAATGGAGTAGTTGGAATTTGTCCTCATTGAACATCATATTGTTTTCTGTTGCCCACTGGAGAACGTGGTTTATATCTTCTTGGAGGTTAACCATGTTCTCAATAGATGACAGTCTCATGCAGATCCTAGTATCGTCTGCAAAGGATGACACGGTGCTGTGGATTACATTTCTATGTCTGATATGAGCATGAGGAACAGGATGGGGGCAAGTACTGTGCTTTGTGGAACAGAGTTTTTCACTATGGCAGCTTCCGATTTAACTCTGTTGACCACTACTCTGTGTGTTCGATTGGTTATGAAGTTGAAGATCCATCTCCCCACTTTGCCAGTTATTCTTTCAGCATGTATTTTGTGCGCTATTACGTCATGATCGCACTTGTTAAATGCTTTTGCAAAGTCTGTGTATATTACGTCTGCATTTTGTTTTTCTTCCGGTGCATCCAAGACCATCTCATAGTGATCCAGTAGTTGCAATAGGCAGGAGTGACCTGCCCTAAACCCATGCTGCCCTGGATTGTGTAGTTTTTGGGAATCCAGGTGGTTTGCAACCATGCTTCTTAGCACCTTTCAAAGATTTTTTTTAATGTGGACGTTAGAACACTGGTGTATAGTTCTTAGCTAATGCTTTGCTGCCACTTCTATGGAGTGGGGCTATATCCGTTGTTATAAGTGACTGTGGAATTTCACCCATGTCTAAGCTCCTTCTCCACAGTAAAACTTAGGGCATGTGAAAGGGGGTTTCTTGCAGTTCTTAATGAACACAAGTTCCACGAGTCGGGCCTGGGGCTGAGTGCATGGGCATGTTGTCAGTGGCTTTTTCAAAGTCTATCGGAGTTAGGGTAATGTCGGAAATCTGACATACATTGATGGAGTTTTGAGGCTCATTCATGAAGAAATCATCATCAGCTGCTCTAGATCCCATTTCAGAGCACTGCCTCTAGATTTGTCAGAGTCCTCTTCAGCGAAAAAGTCTGCTAGTTTAACAGCAACAAAACTGTTGCAATGTTAACTGTTTTTCTTCAGGTTCTTCTTCTTCATCTTTTTCTTCTCTTATCTGGCTCCCTTGTATCTGTGCACTGAGCTCTGGCAACATTTCCTCTGGACTCGTGTCTTCATCATCATCATCATCTTCTAAGAGCTCATTCACATCATCTTCTTCCTTCATATTTTCAAAACCATCACCTAGTAATCTTCTTGCCAGCTGAACAATTTCCTGAACCTGACTCTCAAGGAAGGGAAAAACCAGTGAAAGAATTAACCCTTTGACTGTCGCGGCCGTATATATACGTCTTACGAGGTACCGTGTTTGACGTATATATACTCATAAATTCTAGCGGGGTTCAAATCAAGGGAGGAGAAAGCTGGTAGCCCACAGTGAGAGAATGGGTCTGTGTGGTCAGTGTGCACCATATAAAAAAAAATCCTGGAGCACGCAGTGCATAATGAGAAAAAAAAATCTCCGACCATTTTTTTAATTAAAATGCCGACTTTGTGGTCTATTTTCGTATAGTATTTATGGTTGTATTCTCGTTTTCTTGGCCTCATTTGATAGAATGGAAAACATATTATAGAAGCAGAGTGATTTTGATTGATTTTACTATAAAAAAACCTGGAAATGGAGCTCAAAGTAGGGGAAATGTTTGATTTTTGCCAATGTTCAAAAGTAAACAAAAGATGTCATTGTCCAATAAATGTCCAACTAGCTATTCTAATATGCCAGTCATGAATGGGTTGTGTTATTTATACAATTATTACAGTATTGCAGTAGTCTGCATAATAGTAATCTTCTATTTTTTGTTTGAATAAAAATTCAAAATAGAAAGGGAAGAGTAATATCAGAGGGCCTGGAGACATGGCTGATGAACAAAGAAATGTTATTTTAGAGCCAGGAATGTCTGCACTGTTCATTCTGGACCTTTTTTTGAAATTGTCATATTTTTTAATTTTCGTGAAATTGGCCAAAAATTTCAAATTTCTGACGACATTATTGGGTAGTTGAAAATTGGTAAATGGGCAGTTTCTTGTAAATCAATCAATAGAAAAAATGGAGTTCTAAAGAAATAGCTATGAGTTTGGTCAACTGGAAATATGGAATTAGCCGAAAATAGGGCTCAAGTGGGCAAATCGCCGATTTGTAAATATCGTCGAGGTCGCTAACTTCGCGAAGCATAATCCGTCAGTTTTCCATCAAATTCGTTTTTTTTTTGGGTAATTACAATCGGGGAAAAGATTCTCTATCATTTCATAAGAAAAAAATATTTTTTTTTTTTTTTAAATTTGCGACGCCCGGAGACACCTCAGGATTGGGGGTTGCGACAGTCAAAGGGTTAACTACAGAAGGTCATAGCTTTCCCAGCCTGCATTTAATGTTGATTGGGGGACTTCATTCCATGCACCTCTAGCATAGCTGATGGCAATCTGCAATGTTAAATTTATTCAAGAAACTCGGTACTCGCCAGTTTGAAGTCAGAGTCCATCCAAAATTTTTTCCCCCCCCACAAATCGAACGGTGTTAAGTTTCTTTTAGAAGTGTTGTATAAAATTATGCCTCAATTTTCAAAAGTGTAATAAAATAAAACGTGCCAAATAAATCTGTGTAATACAAGGGTCTACTGTACATTATTTAGGTAACATACTGGTTAGAAAGCCCACCATAATCTGTGTTGTTGGTAAACGATTATGTCGCTAAGGGGGGAGAGGCTTTATTGATAGTATTGGAAAACTCCTGTTTCTGATGTGTCTGATTCCATAATTCTGTACTGTATTAAGTAAACCCAATGATTCACAATACTTTAATTACCATTTTTTTTTTGATGATTTCAAACCTAATAAAAAAACTTAGTTTCTAACCTTTAGTATCACATTTTTCATGTACTCGGTGTTTTCCATGTGCTTTTCACGAACTTCATTTCTCACAGACCTTCGTATTTTTTCTTTTTAGAGCATCCGAGAGTTGTGTTAATTTGGCATTTTCTGCTTCTGACTCGTGCAAAGTGTTGTAAGTTGCTGGATTTCCGCAAATTTCCCCCAGCACTTAACTGAAACAAATTAAAAAATGTGTTTTGGCAAGCTAGACAGAGGTAGAGATCAAGATCACAGGTATGACAGAAACAAACTGAAGATATACATAGAAGAGAAGTGTGTATTAATCCATTCCTGTTTTAAAAGCAATCAGTTTGTGAGGGTTTTGATCAACATCAGTTATGAAACATTTCCTGTTTTTTCTCCACATGGTGTTTTCTTTATCTGAAGTTAGGCTAAATTAATTTTTTAAATTAGATTGGGTTGGGTTAGCAGTAGTTCACATAAACTAATCAAAAATGTATATTAAATCACAAATAAAATATTAAAAAAACAGGCCATGATTCATCTGACAATGGAATGACAGACAAAAAAATAGGAAATGCTCAAATTTGAATGTTACCTCTCCCCGGTGAGAAATTAGGCTGTATGTGTATCTGCAGAAAATGTGCCCACTAAAATGAGTATCAACATCACAGCTGAAGTAAAGACAAGACATATACTGCTGGTGAAGCTTTTATTATAACAACATTTTGATCTGGTGAGAGATGACAAAGCTCCAACAGTGAGCAAAATATTTTTAATGAAAGCTTGTTATGCAATGTGTGTGCCTCTTCCTCACTACTGGTTTGGGAGTACATTATTTGGATCCTCACAGTCAAAATGTGAACAAAAAATTTTATAGGCCCAATATTTAAAAAGGGTACACCAGTAAATGAAAGTACTGACAATACTTTGCAAACAAATTTAAAAAAAATAATGATGATATAAGTGTAATGTAATGAAAGGATGGAGGGAAAGGGGGAAAAAGAGATTTTATGTGCAAGGGGCTTGGGCATAACAGCAGGCATGTGTGAGGCTGTTAGAAAGTAGCGAAATGAAGATGAAGGGTTTTGGGGACTGGATGAGTTGTTGGAATGTGAGTAGGGTAATATTTTGTGAAGGGATTCAGGGAAACTGGTTAGCCAATTTGAGTCCTGGGGTGGGAACTACAATACCTGCACTTTAAAGAGGGGTTTGGGGATATTTGCTGTTAGGAGTGACATTCTGCCCTGTCATATCTGCACACTTCTGCAAAAACAGTGATTATTTTGTGAATGAGGTGAAAGTGTGTTTCTTTTTTGGGTCACCCTGCCTTGGTGGGAGACGGCCAGCGTTGTAGAAAAAAAAAAAGTGTAATGAACACTTGTTGACAAGAAAACAGCAGTGGCAATGAAACTATGTTTGACTCCCAACTGGAGTCCTCATCAGATGAAAGCACAACAGAGAAGGAGGGCAATACATGTATGAGCCAGGGGTTTGGACATCCAGCAGGCATGTGTGAGCATGTTAGACAGGAGCATGTAAAGGCAAGTGGTTTTTATAACTTGACGTGAAGTTGGAATGTGAGAAAGGTAACAATTATGAAGGGTATAGGGAAACTGATTAGCCAAACTTGAGTACTGGAGGTGGAAAGCTTTCCCAAAGATTGTCTTGCCTCTGGCAAGATAATCATGGAGTGATGGTGAAAGTGTTTCTTCTTCTTTTTTTTTTTGGGTCACCCGCCTCAGTGGGAGATGGCCAGTGAGTTGACAGTGGAACCTCTACTTACGAATTCATCCACGTGCAAGTTTTTCGGGTACAAGCAGTTGCTCGGTTGATTTTTTGCTTCCAGATGCAGTGAAATTTCCAGATATGAGCGGGCCTAAAGGGGAGGTTCTTGGATGCGGGTGAGGGGCTCTTGCTCTTGGTCTAGGAATTGGATCTCAGTTTTTTTGTTGGCTATCTTATTGAAACTTTGGCAATGTATGATGGAAAGATGTTCTTAACGTACACCAAAAATAAAAAAAATTTCGTACCACAAATAACGAAGTTCACCTCTCAGTCATTGGCCTCCCCTTAGCGGTATATTTTTGTATGGTTTTTATGGTTGTATTCTCGTTTTTTGGTCTTTTTTCGGGCCACCCTCCCTTGGGGGGAATCGGCCAATGTGTTAATAAAAAAATAATAAATAGAATGGATGATATACTACAGAAATAGGTATGATTTTTATTAGTTTTTTGACGAAAAGTACCTTGAAACTGAGTTCAAAGTAGCAAAAAAGTTCAATCCTTTGGCGATTTTCAAGAGTAAACAAATTATGTCACCATCCAATACTTGTCCAATTGTCACTGCCCCTCACCTTTCACATATTAGAAAGCTCTTCAACACGCTAGCAAAAGAGGAGCAGACATCATGAGGTAGCAGTGGCAGACATCATGAAGCAGCAGTGGCAGACAACATGAGGTAGCAGTGGCAGACAACACGAAACGCAGTGGCGGGCCTTTTTGCACCCTATACTATAAGTGAGTTTCCCGAACGCCACCATGAATGGCAGTATCAACACAATGCTCAGTCCACCCCACTTCGCGGTGGAGAGAATTCTCGTGTTTTCCTTACATTTCGTGCAGTTTTTTTTGCAAAATTTCTTTTTTTCTAACCATGGGTCCAAAGAAAGCAAGTGCAAAGGACAGTGCTGAGAAGAAAAAGAGGATGTTTTCCATGAAATTAAAACAGGAAATCATGGACAAACAAACTAGGTGGAGGGTTAAGGACTTGTAAGGCAGTACCACCATACCACTACTACGATTTATTTATTTATTTAATGTCTTTGCAAACGTACATTGAGATTGTGTATATCAATAGTAGGTTGCAATGCAAAGAGAGCCTCTATTATGCCTTGGCATTATGGACCAACCCTTAACTTTAATTGGCTTACATTCTACTTAATACTAAGGAGTATATCATAGTTGGCGTAGTTAGTAATTATTTCATAGTTGTACAGTAAATATTAATTATAAATGAATCAAATTTTGTATAATACAAAGATATATTTATATTCTCAAATGCTTTTGTGAAAACAATGATTCAATTATAATTCCTGTCAACAATGGAAAAAAGGGTTCAATGTGATTGTTTCAGTTATGATGTGGGAGTACATAGGTGAGAAAGTGTGTACTGAGTATTTAGCATTTAGTCTAGGGTGATTAGGTGGCTTTTGAGATGAGTCTTAAATTGATTTTCAGCTGGGTTACTTTAATATATTCGGTAATGAATGGACACGAGGTATATCAAAAAGAGATCTGTGTCTTGTGTTGTGGTCATGTGTCCTGTTTAGGTTGGTGAGGAAAAGTTTGAGGGGGGGGTTTATATTTATGTGAATTGTTCTGTGTATGAAAGTAGGCACATGAATAAGTATGGATGTTTTTTAAAATGGTAAGCAGATTCAGACTTTTGAAATTGGTGGAGTAGCTGGCGGGAGGGGGAATTTGTTATCATTCTTACTGCTGCCTTTTGCGGGGTTTATTAGGGGTTTTAGGTGATTTGATGTTGATCCCCATGCACAAATTCCATATGTAAGATAAGGGTATATGAGTGAATGGACAGTGCCGGGAGAGCGATTGTGGAACGTAGTACCTTATCTTTGATAGAATGCCTACAGTTTTGGGAGATTTTCCTGGTGATTTGTTGTATATGTATATGTGTCAAGGTGGATACTAGGAATTTTCCCTCTGTGAGTCTTGTGACTGGTGATCCATTTAGCGTAATGTTAATTGGATCATTTGAAAGCTTTGTTTCCAAACTGAATGAAATAGGTTTTTATCAGAGATTCAGGGTAAGTTTGTTAGTCACATCCAGGCAGATATTTTCTGTAATTCAGCATTGACTGTGTTGCTAATGACTTTTGTTTGGGTGGGAAAATACATATGTAGTGTCATCTGCAAATGATATGGGTTTGAGTAGCTGTGATGCATTCGGTAGATCATTGATGTAGATGAGAAAAGAGGAGTGGTCCAAGGACGCTTCCTTGTGGGACTCCTACTGTTGATTGGTTGGGGGGGAGGAGTTTGCAATTTGCACACACATATTGAGTTCCGTTACAAAGGTAGACTTTAGGTAGTTGAGGGAGTGGCCTCTGATCCCGTAGTGCTTTAAATTTTGGAGTACAGTAGTTCGTGGTCGACCGTTCAAAAGCTTTACGTAAATCAATGAAAATGCCCAGCGGGACTTCTTTCTTTTCGAGTGCGGTATATTTTTAGTTCTACATGTGAAATGATAGCGTCATTTGTGCTTTTATTTTTCCCTGAAACCAAACTGAAAAGGGGTTTTAAATATATTGTGTAAAATTTGAGGTGGGAATAGATCCGTCTATGAATTAATTTTTCAAAGATTGAGAGAGCAGTGGTAAGTTAAATATTGGTCTATAGTTATTCAAGTCAGCTTGGTCACCTCCTTATGGATCGGAGTGACCCTCGCTATTTCGCAGAGGGGTCAGTGACAAAGTGTAGCATTAAGAGTGTAGCAATTAAGTGTGGCATTAAGAGTGTAGCAATTATAAGTCAGTCTGACTTTTTTGGGTTATCCCCAGGTTCTCTAACACATTAGTCAGGAGCAAGAATGGCCACTGTGGTGGCCCTATAAACCCCAGCAACAACAATGGCCTTTGTTACCACCACTAGCCACATACGTAATGACATGCTTTTATTCATTCTAGTGTACATATCATGTTTCTATGTTAACCCCTTGACGTCACAACCCCCAATCCTGAGATGTCTCCTGGGTTGCAAAATTTAAAAAAAAAAAAAAATTATTTTTCCTTATGAAATGATAGAGAATCTTTTCCCATTGTAACACAAAACCCAAAAAAAAACGAAATTTGATGGAAAACTGACGGAATTATGCTCTCGCGAAGTTAGCGACCTCGACGATATTTACAAATCGGCGATTTCCCCCCACTTTGAGCCCTATTTTCGGCTAATTTTCCCTTATTCCATTGACCAAACTCATAGCTATTTCTTTAGAACTCTCCATTTTTTCTATTGATTGAGTACAAGAAACTGCCCATTTAACCAATTTCAACTACCCAATAATGTGGTCGAAAATTTGCAATTTGGGCCAATTTCAAAAAAAATTAAAAAATATGACAATTTCAAAATAAGGTCCAGAATGAACATGCAGACATTCCTGGCTCTAAAATAACATTTTATTTGTTCATTAGTCATGTCTCCAGGCCCCTCTGATATTACTCTTTTTTCTATTTTGAATTTTTATTCAAACAAAAAAATAGAAGACTTATATTATGCAGACTACTGCAATACTGTAATAATTGTATGAAAACATCAACCCATTCATGACTGCATATTAGAATGGCTAGTTGGGCATTTATTGGACAATGACATCATTAGTTTACTTTTTAACATTGGCAAAAATCAAACATTTCCCCTACTTTGAGCTCCATTTCCAGGTTTTTTTTATAGTAAAATAATCAAAATCACCCTATTTCTATAAAAAGTTTTCCATTCTATCATATGAGACCAAGAAAAACGAGAATACAACCATAAATTTCTATACGAAAATAGACCACAAAGTCGGCATTTAATTTAAAAAAACGGTCGGAGTTTTTTTTTTCTCATTATGCATGCGTTTCTCCCGGATTTTTTTATATGGTGCACACTGACCACACCGACCCATTTCTCCCCACATGTGGGCCTACCAGCTTTCTCCTGCTTGATCTGAAGCCACTAGAATTTATAGTATATATACGTCAAACACGGTACCTCGTAAGACGTATACAGTGGACCCCTGCATACCGTACGCATCACATAACGTTCAATCCGCATACCGCTCCCCTTTTATCACAAAAATTTTGCCTCGCATACCGCTCAAAAACCCCCCTCACACGCTCTTCGTTCGAGACGCTCCAATGTGCCCCTTAGCCAGCCTCACATGTGGGCCCCCGGTGGCATTGTTTACCAGCCAGCCTCCACGGTAAACATCCAAGCATACAATCGGAACATTTCGTATTATTACAGTGTTTTTGGTGATTTTATCTGCAAAATAAGTGACCATGGGCCCCAAGAAAGCTTCTAGTGCCAACCCTACAGCAAAAGGGTGAGAATTACTAAGAGATAAGAAAAAGATCATTGATAAGTATGAAAGTGGAGTGCGTGTCTCCGAGCTGGCCAGGTTGTATAATAAACCCCAATCAACCATCGCTACTATTGGTGGTACAGCTGCTGCTGCTGCTGCTGCTGGGTGCTGCTGCTGCACTGTCAGCTGCTGCTGCTGCTGCTGTACCCCCGTCAGCTGCTGCTGTAGTACCGTCTGCGCTGCTGTAGCATCGTCTGCTGCTGCTGTAGCACTGTCAGCTGCTGCTGCTGCTGTACCAAAACCCTCAGCTGCTGCTGTATGACCGTCTGCTGCTGCTGTAGCTCGTCTTGCTGCTGCTGTAGCACTGTCAGCTGCTGCGCTGCTGTACCACCAACAGCTGCTGCTGTAGTACCGTCTGCTGCTGCTGTAGGATCGTCTGCTGCTGCTGTAGCACTGTCAGCTGCTGCTGCTGCTGTACCACCGTCAGCTGCTGCTGTAGTACCGCTGCTGCTGCTGTAGCATCGTCTGCTGCTGCTGTAGCAAATGTCAGCTGCTGCCGCTGTAGCACCGTTTTTTGGTGTGGCTTATTTAGAATACCAAGAACAATTAAACCCCAGAGGATTTGCCACCCAGGGTAACCCAAAAAAGTCAGTGTCATCGAAGACTAACTTATTTCCATTGGGGTCCTTAATCTTGTCTCCCAGGATGCAACCCACACCCGTCGACTAACACCCAGGTGAACAGGGAAAAATGCCTGGAACTAGTGCTCATATTGGTGAATTTAAAGCCAGCAAAGGTTGGTTTGAGAGATTTAAGAATCGTAGTGGCATACACAGTGTGATAAGGCCTGTTCTGGAAGAAAATGCCAAACAGGACCTACAGTACTCAGGAGGGGAAAAGGCACTCCCAGGACACATGTGCTCATCAGTCATTGCTGCATCTTCAATAAAGGTAAGTGTTATTTTTTCTACATTTAGTAGAGTAGTACATGCACAATATATATTGTGCATGTACTACTCTACTATTGTGCATGTATCCTTCTCTTTGTGTGTAGGAAAATGTATATTTCATGTGGTAAAATTTTTTTTTTCATACTTTTGGGTGTCTTGCACGGATTAATTTGATTTTCATTATTTCTTATGGGGAAAATTCATTCGCATACCGATCATTTCGCATAACAATGAGCCCTCTTGCACGGATTAAAGTCGCTATGCGGGGGTCCACTGTATATACGGCCGCGACAGTCAAAGGGTTAATAATATTGTTTATTATGTCATATTGGATGAATTGTGATAGATAAATAAGCCACAGAGCTGATATTAGGGAAATTATTATCTTGTCGTGCCTGGAATTCCACTAGAATGAATTACAGTGGTCCCTCGCTTTTCGTAGTTCTCGGCAATCGTAAATTTCGCCAGTCATAGGGGTATTTTCGTGTAAACATGGACTCGCTTTTCATAGGTTGACTCACGAATAGTAGTTCGTCCGGGACGCGTATGCACGGTGTAAGCCGGGGCGGCCTCCCTACCCAGCCAGTCTGGCATTGTTTACCAGCGAGTGAAGGTCCCCTCAAGTGCTCCTACGAAATATTTCATAATTTTCCACTCATTTTAGTGCTTGCAAGACTAAATAAGCTACCATGGCTCCAAAGAAACTCCTAGTGCCAAGCCGTGGTAAAGAAGGTGAGAAATATTACAGTGACAAAGTCTTGGGCCATTTTAGGGAAGTGTTAAAGAGACGCCAGAAACAAGCTCTCTCCACATTACTTTGGCGAGACAGGACTCCAGGGGACTCTCATTTGGTGGTCCTAGTGGCATTAAGAAACAGAGAAGAGAAGCAACCCCAGAGAAGCAATTGGTACCTGAGGTGTTGCTGGAAGGGGTTTTCCCTTCCAAACTGTAAACAATTCAATCTCTCTCCTCCAGTCTCCCCATACACTAAGAAGAATCTCCAATAAAGGTAAGTGTTACGCTGTTAATGTTTCATTCATCATTTCCCATTGTATTTTATATACTACATGTATATTTCATGTAAAAAAATTTTTTTGTTTTAATACTTCTGGGTGTCAGGAATGGATTAATTGTATTTACATTATTTTTTAAATGGGGAAAATTGATTCGAAAATCGAAAATTTCGTTTATATAACAGCTCCGGGAAGGGAATTAATTACGAAAAACAAGGGACCACTGTAATTCCATTTCAGTTAATTTAAATAAGGAAAACTGACTGTGCAAACAAACAAATCCAGATGTGAGCAAGGTCACGGAACGGATTAAACTCGTAAGTAGAGGTTCCATTGTATTATTATTATTATAAAAAATGAAGTGCTAAACCTACAAGGGTCATACAGCAGTATGTTGAAAGAAAAGTAATAATAATAATATTTTTTATCAAGATGTATGATGACAAAGGTACAGCACCAATTAATAAAATTAGTAAAAAAAAATTCCATCATAATACTTTCTACCTAAGAATCTGTTTGTTTACTCTTAGATGAAGTGCATAAAATAAATGTCAGTCACTTTCAAGACAACAATCTTCAGATGATAAACAAACCTTTCCCCTTTCTGACAAGAATGTAAAGCTTGTAAGAACTACCTACTACAATATTTACCAAACATAATTTTCATGTACTGTATATTATATATAAGAAACTTTATTAAAAGTTTTTTTTTCACAGTCACTTTAAATAACTAAAAAAAAATTTTTTTTACTATACAGTTTTTTTCAAGCATAAACCCGTTATGGAATTTTTTTACCTTTTCATGAATGAAAACCCACCTTTGCCTCAAGCCTGGCCATTTCCTTCCCAGTGGCATCTGTGTTGATGCTGGCAATGCTGACATTATCATCCTGGGATGTAAGAGGGGAATTTATAAGTTGTTCTAGGGGCGGAGGGCTATAACCCCTTTGTTTACCTGGGAACGATGAACAGGTTCCACCCACTCTGAGCCCTATGGTTATGCAAAAGACATTCAGTTAAAGAAGAATGTAAAGTGCATTTTTTCTTAGCTCTAAAAAAGCTTGAATTATACTTATACAGACAGATGTTTAATATATACAATAAAAACTTAAAATAATTTTACAAAATAATATGGAATATTTGGGAAACCCAAAATTTTAGACTACAGAGTCAAGTAAGTGATAAAAACCATACATATATGCTCTACCTGCATAACTGTACACTGTAGGTCCACCCTCAAGCCATTCCTTGGTAAGTTACCTTGATAAAAATATTTCAATGTCCATCAGCGTTCAATTTAACTGAAAAAGAGCTCTTTGACTCTCCTGATGAAGCCAAATTTTTCAGTATTATTTCTAACTTTTGGTATAATTTTAGCCTTCAGGCCATCCCATTTCTCGCTTTGATCAATCTTATGCCTTATTTCTTCACCCAGAGTAAGTTTAAATTTACAAATGCTTTAGTAGCAATAAACTTCAAGAAAATGTATGGCTCCAGACAGTATGGTACAGATGAGTGATGGAGTCCCATAGGGTTGCACCTATACTGACGCCCACCATCTCATTGTCCTACACCAATAAACCTTTCTCTCTCCCCAGGAAAACAAACTGTTCAGCCTGTCATTAAATAAGTTGTGAGCTTCAATAATTTTACTGCCTTCACTAATATCCAATTATTTCAAACAGCATGTTAATTTATTTTAGGCACCCTTGTACACTTATTCGCTCTGTTCACGCAACTACATTTTCTACTAAAGTTCTCTCATCAAGTTACTCATTTTGGATTTATTCCATATTTATGTTAACTGCCAAAGCTGATTCCAGAAAAATTGAAAATTACTCTTCATTTCAAAAAGTATTTCACTGTCCAACTACTAATCAGGTCTACCATATTTTGACCTGCCTTTCAAAGATTACTGCTCTCACACCTAAGACAGCTTTTCCTAACCACCTTATTAAGAATCTGTTCTATACACCATGAAGGTTTCCCGCTCACCTTTGTCTAAAGTTCTGAATTCTCAAGCATGGGAAAGGTGTTTTCGTCTTCGTTCGTTCGGTCGTTCGGCCGGGATCCGGTCGGTCCGGTCTCTCTCTCTCTCTCTCCCTCTCTCCTCTCTCTCTCTCTCTCTCTCTCTCTCTAGAAGTACAGCTATCACACATCTGGGAAAGCTCCCTTTTTGCCCATTTGTCTAAAAGTACGTCTCACATTTCACACATTCAGATTGTTTAAGAAGTAGAGCTTACACATCTAATAATAGCATATGTTTGAGGGGAAGATCTTGAACATGGAATCGGCATAGATAGGTGTGTTCAACTGAATTTGAAACCAAGTGGTCTTTTGAATGTATGTACAGATTAGAGTGTAAGCAAGTCACAGTAATAACATGGAACCCATCTTATGTAGATTTGGGTTTTGATGGTAGGAAGTACTTTGAATACTCTTTAAAAGCTTCAGAATGGTTGTGGTGCTGTCTGGTTGAACTGCGGACCTGATATCTGTGGGACCTTCATATCTGGAATAACATCTAGGAAGCAAGTGTGGTGAATGTGCTTTCTGTAGGCACTCTGCATTGTAAGAAAATAGTTGATTACATAAAATAAATTAGAATAGGATACAAAAAATAAGGATTATACTTCTATCATTAAATCCAGCATACCCCTTTCTGACTACCAAGAGAAGTGATGATTCTCTATGCATTACTATCTACTCTACATATAAATGAATACTGTTTTCACCTGTTTGCATCCAAATTTCAACACTGGTACTGTAATAACAATATAAAATGTCAACATTACTATAAGATAATTTACACTGTAGTTTAAATGTATCAAAAACAAGCATCAACAACAGGAATAAGTAAATTTTTAATAAACACACTAATGCATAAAACACTGACCTCCCCATTCCTCCTCTGACCATGTTTGTAACATCAATTCTGGGTTCGTCATATCCAAGGCTGAACTTGCGACTATGTTGCTGAAGGTTGGTGTGGTTTACACCTGCACAGTGTGATCATTCTCAGAGCGAAACGGATGGGGAGGCAGTAGACTTGTTGGACATGGTAGTGTTAGCACTGGCAGGAGTTGCTGTGACAGAGGTGGCTTATGGTGTTCTTCAGCTGCCATAATTTAATCCTCATCATTCCTCAAGTATATCTTTGTTGTTTCTCCACTTCCGGAGTGAGTCTGCTTTAAGGTATCCAACTGTTTCTGTCAATTAAGTGGGAGTTGTTACAAAAACTGCTTGAAAACATATTCTTAACATTGAACACTTTATTTTCTTGTTTTCCTACTGACTACATATCCTAAAGTTTTCATAACTGCCATCTTGCATTTCATTTACATTTTTTAAAATCTATATACAAGTTAAAAAATAACCAAAACAATTAAGCTGAGCAACACAGATCTCAACAAAATACCAAACCAGCTTGTGTTTCACTGGTTTTTCAACTTTAATGGTTTTTGTACTATAAGTGAAAACAATAGATAAAAAGGTTGCCAATGTTTCACCACCTGTAATACTTCAGTCCAATGGTTATAAAACATTAAAGATTTTTAAGTCCCCACAGTTTTGTAAGTGTTAACATTGTGTAACCTTGATATGCGTGTATGTCGGGACTTCTGTATTAGGCATGGTACTTTCTTTCTGTTTCTTGCCTCCACTAAATTTTCTTTTCACACTTTACATCTATCTCCTATAAAAGAAAACACAGTCAGAACAGAACTACTGAAATGGGGCCTTCAGTGGAGTGAAATTTATGGAGCCTTCAGCCCCATAATTTCCACCACTCATCTTAACCCTCTCACTGATGAGACCCCTTATTACAAACTAGCTCTCATTTGTGAAAAATATGTAAAAAAAAAAAAAAAAAATTTTTTCTAACCAAAGGGGATCTTAAGAATATTTTTTCTGATTGTTTTTAACAGAAAAAAAAAGCGGTCCAGTACTTACCGAGAAACAAGGCTGAAGTTGACAAATAGAGACCGCTTATACGCAACAACAGTGACTGCCCGCTCACGTCGGTATTATTATTACTTTTAATCATTTTACATTTCTTTTCTAATATTTTAATTTTTTTCCAACTAACTTTTGTGGCCTGTGATACCAATATAATGCATATTGGTATATATATCCACTCATTGTATGCAACCAATAACTGCACAAATAATATCATTATATTGTTTACAAAACTTGCTTTACACAAACCATCAATAAAAAAATTGGTTTATTACTTAGTGGTTCTTAATATATAAATACAAGAGTCACTGGACACAATTCCTATAAAGTGCTGCAGCTTGTGGGACTCTTGAAACATGGTGTTATGCACAGTGCTGTTTTACACTCCTGCACAACATAAAACAAGTGTACTTGCATTTGGTGAGTGGTTTGTTGTGGTTGTGGTATGCAGGTTGTGTGTGGATGGTCCGTATGTAGCTTTTGTTGTGGATTTCCGATTCAGCAGCAGGGCTAACCATCTTTGGGTGCCGAGTGGTGCTTACATGACGCATTTACTGCTGTCAGGGCAAGTATAGTATCCATCCTAATTTTAACATATACCAATACCTCATATTGTCTTCCCCACCAACCAGCTATCTTCCCCACCAACCATGCTGTCTTCCCCACCAAGCCATGCTATCCTCCCACCCAACCATGCTATCTTCCCTACCAACCATGCTGTCTTCCCCACCACAAATGCTATTTTACCCCACCAACCAAGCTGTCTTCGCCCACCAACATACTATCTTCCCCCACCAACCATGCTGTCTTCCCCACCAACCATGCTGTCCTTCCCTCCACCAACCAAGCTGTCTTCCCCACTAACCATGAGTCTTCCCCACCAACCATGCTGTCTTCCCACCAACCTGCTGTCTTCCCCACCAACCATAGCTATCTTCCCACCAACCATGCTGTCTTCCCCACCAACCATGCTGTCTTCCCACCAACCAATGTTATTTATCCCCACAACCATTCTTGTCTTCCCTCCCACCAACCATGACTATCTTCCCCACCAACCATGCTGTCTTTTCCTCACCAACCATGCTGTCTTCCCCACCAACCATGCTGTCTTCCCCACCAACCATGCTGTCTTCCCACCAACCATACAGTTTTCCCCACCACCATGGCTGTCCTCTTCTCCCCACCAACCCAAGCTATCTTCCCCACCAACTATTCTGTCTTCCCCACCAACCATGGTATCTTCCACACAGAACCATGCGTCTTCCTCCACCAACCGATGCTATCTTCCCCCACAACCATGCTGTCTTTCCACACAACCATGGCTGTCTTCCCCACCAACCATGCTGTCTTCCCCACCACCACATGCTGTCTATCCCCACCAACCATGCTGTCTTCCCCACCAACCATGCTGTCTTCACCCACCAACAATGCTGTCATCCACACCACCATGCCTGTCTTCCACACCAACCATGTTGTCTTCCCCCACGTCAAACCCAGGTATCTTCCACACAAACCATGCTGTCTTTTCCCCACCAACCATGCTGTCCTTCCCCACCAACCCATGATCTCCACACAAACCAGCTGTCTTCCCCACCAACCATGCTACTTTACCCCCCACCAACCAGCTGTCATCCCCACCAACCATGCTGTCTTCCCCACCAACAATACGTCTTCTCCACTACCCACATGGAAATAAGTTCCACATGCTGACTTTTTTGGTTACTGTAGTTCCCACTCATATGCCGCGATGTATGTTATCTATTAACGTATATTGTGGTACACCTGAATAACACTTACTTGTTCACTGAGACATGGCAAATAGATTTTCCCTCTTTCGCTGTGGTACAACTGAACATGAACGAGACGTCCCACACTCAGAGGTGGAAGGATTGATAATCGTCTGGATTTTCAAGCACTATTTCCTGATAACCTGGGCATGTTTTCAGTCATAAACTTCCTCAAAATCATTAAATTCATCTTCACTGACACTCCATCTGTGTGAACTATCACTTGGGAAGGGAAGAGGTCCCAATTCCGCCGGGTAGTGAGGTAATTCCTTACCAGCTAGGCATGGTGAACAAGGCGTATGAATTGGCACTTCCACAATGGCAGCTGCGGCCTCCCTGATTCTTTTTAAACTGTAACACTCTGAACGCACAAACCCATTCTCTCACATGTGGCCTACCCAGCTTTTCTCCCACCAGATTTGAAGGATCTAGAAATTTTGGCGTAGTATATGGGACTGTCACTGGCTTGCCAGCCTAAAATTACAGGACCGACAGGTGAAAAAGGTTAAGGAGAGAATTTTTTTGGTAATGCGAAAAAGAAATTAAACAATATATTGTCCACACCTGACCTTAAATTGTTACTCATTTGCTTCATTTTGGTTAGCCATGCTGGTGATAATTCCTTTGATATTCAGCCAATATTTAAGCTTCCATTTTAAACTTTCTAGACTGTAAATCTTCTCATGGTGAGAACTTTCCCGTCTGTTCGCTCCTCTATCAGGATAATATAACTTTTTTGGCAATGCCATCTTTCCAGATTGCATAATCGTGTATTCGGCTTGGGGAGGGTTGAACAGTCTGACCAGTTTAAGGATAAAAGTAAATACAAAAATTATGATGTGGTCAGGGTTCATATTTAATACTCCGCAAAAATAAAACAAATGTCAAGAAGACTCATCTAATTGGGGACACATTGACTGATATTTTAACAAAAGCATCAGGGAGATTCCCTGAACTACAGTGCATTGAAGGAAATAAATGGTAATAAAAAATTAACGACACAATAGATAAAACACACATGCAGGTAAATGTGATCCTTTATTGACAAAGTTTTCACACCCACACGTGGGCTTTTCCACGTCACAAACAGATCTACCTGGGTGGAAGGTACATGATATTTATAGTCAGGTTCAGAATGCTGGTCAAGGTTGGTAGAATGCTGCATCTGATGATTTACCGAGTGGGTTTATAGAGTCTAAATCTTGGGTAGCTGGAAGGGAGATTGGATGAATTATGTGAGTAGAGGACTCTTTTGCAAGTGTTCCCTCCATTCCTATGTCTTATGTGGATAGAGTGATGATCAGAAACATCGCTATCCTCTATATCCAACAACTCAAAAACCAGAACAATAGCTTCTATAACACAGCTGAACCACTTGCCAAGAAACTTCTTCATCGCTATCCCACATAAGAACATGGGATTGGATGAACAACTGCAGAAGGTCTACTCACATACTTTATCCTATCTCCACTATTCCAATCTACCCAAGATTATAGAATCTAAAACTCCCACTCGTACATTATCAGATTCAGCATTCTCCACCTGACCTCAGCATTCTGAACCTGAATATAAATGCATGCGTACCTTCCACCCCAGGTAGATCTGTTTTTGACTTGACAAAGCCCACTGTGTGGTAAAACGTTGTCAATAAAAGGATCACATTATACTGCATGTGTTTATATTTTCAACTTCAGGCATTGTTTTTTCACTGCAAAAGTGTTTTGAGACTTGCTATACATTGTGCCAATATTCTTTATGCAATCCCCAAATTTTTACCATAAAATATTTTATTGCAAGGGTGGGGGGAAAGAGTAAATGAAGAGTCCCCTATTGGGGAACGTTAATGTTGATGGCATGAGTGATATTACTAGAGCGACCCAGGATCATGGAACACACCCTAACTACATAAAGTGAGGATACTCCTGAATCTCAAAAAAACAAAAAATATAGGAAAGGTTATAAAATGCTTAGATCAGGAGCTACTAACTAGGAACAGTTTGGTTTATGATCAGCAAATTTC